AGCTCAATTGCTTGCTTCATCTCCATCTTATGATAGAAGGCGATCAACTGAGGCTCCTTGGATCTTTCCCCAGCAATCAGGCACTTCTTCACATATTTCTTGTTGAAGCGGTTTAGCCTTTAGAGAAACCATACAACGGAGGCATGATCAGGGAGAGGAGAAGAATAGAAGATAGCAATAGCACTTAGGCTTATATACAGCTTTACAGCCCTCTCGAACTGCTGGCAGTCAGCAGAGTCAGCCTGCAATATTGCATTCTAACCACTGCACCACCAGGGCCAAGGAAAGGAAGGGAGAAATAGCAATGGCACTTAGACTTATATACCACTTTACAGTGCTTCACAGCTCTCTCTAAGAGGTTTAAATAGTCAGCCTCTTGCCCCCAACAATCGGAGTCCTCATTTTATACACCTCGGAAGGATGGAAGGCTGAGTCAACCTTGAGCCTGAAATTGCAGGCAGACGGCAGTCAGCAGAAGTAGCCTGCAGTACTGCGTTCTAACCACTGCGCCACCGAGGCTCATAGTAAGTGGAGGATTGGTCCCAAAACTTTGTCTTATAAGATGTGATATACAAAGACAGCAATCAAATAGTTCTACAAGTAGTCCTTGACTTATGATCACAACTGAACACCAATTTTCTGTTGCTAAGCAAGACAGGGCTTAAGGGAATTTTGCCTCATTTTGCAGCCCTTCTTGCTGCAGATATTAAGGGAATCACTACCGTGGTTGTTAGTCACACGTTTGTTAAGTGAATCGGGCTTCCCCACTGACTTCGCTTGTCAGAAAATTGCAAAAAGTGACTCCGGGACACTGCAACTGTCAAAAACACATGCCAGTTGACAAGTGTCCAAATTTTGATCACATGACCACAGGGATGCTGCAATAGTCTAAAGTGGGGAAAAAAACATTTTTTTCAGGATCATTGTAACTTCAAACTGTCATTAAATGAATGGTTGTAGGTCAAGGACTAGCTGTACTCCAGACTGCTGTATATATTTACTTGTGTTTACTTAGAAGCAAGAAAAAATAATAATGATAGGTCAGATGTCTCCCCCCCTTTTTTAAAACCACACAGTTGTTTTACAGGATCAATTAAAAATGGTTTCCGTTGTTACTTGGAGTGACATCCCCCCCCCCCCCAAGTAGACATTTGGTTCAGTTGCTAAGTCATGTCTGGCCATAGCACACCAGGCCCGCAAAACTAGATATTATTGTTATGAATTTTCAAAACAATGAATTTTCAAAACTAAGAACTGACTTGAGAAGCAAACATGTACAAACTGAGTACTGTATTTTTCAGAGCATAAGACGCACCGAAGTATAAGGTGCACCAAGATTTTGAAGAGGAGAAATGAAAAAAAAAGTTTTTGCACTCTGCATACCTCCCCAAAACAGCCCGTTTTTTTTTGAAAACGGGCCTGTTTTTTGTCAAAAAAATGGCATGCATAGCTTTTAGGAGGCTTATAGAGTGTTTCTGGGAGCTTGGGGGGGGGGGGAAACAAGCATAAAACGGACCATTTTCCACTCATTTTTGCCCTCCCCAGTGCACAAGAGCACTCTGGAAGCCTCCTAAAGGTTATTCATGGCCATTTTTGCAAAGGGGATGGGGTTTCAGGAGGACACAAATGCTGTATTCAGTGTATAAGATGCACTCAGATTTTCACCCCCTTTTTTGGGGGGGGGAGGAATGATGCATCTTATACTCTGAAAAATACGGTAAGTATTTCAACAACTATTTACTTTGTTTCTTCTGCTCTGGTGACACTTACTTGTCCTTCCAATGGTGATGTCCATAGTGGCCGCATATATCCTCAATCCCCGTCAAGAGATGATCCAGAAACTATTTCAAAAAGAAGGAAGGTGAATTTATTGCTCATTTATTTAAAATTGCCTTCTCTCCAGAAGAACGTCAATTGCAGGTGTGAAAAGCCCTGTGAATCCCATGAATTATGAGGAAAAGCCAGTAAATTCTCGACCATGTAAAGCTTGATGACTCCCTGCAGAAAACCACATAGCTGAAGGATGGGGTCAGAGGTGGTATTCGGCCAGTCCTGACTGATTCTAGTGAACCAGTAGCGGAAAATTTGAGTAGTTCTGAGAACCGGAAAATACCACCTCTGACTGGCGCCGCCCCCATCTATTCTCTGCCTCCCGAATCCCAGCTGATCGGAGTGAGCTTAAATGGACTCCGGAGGATGGTAGAGGACAGGAAGGCCTGGAGGAATGTCATCCATGGGTTTGGACATGACTTCGCAACTAACAACAACAATCCAGTAAGACTACTACCTTGAGGGCACCAGGTTGGGGAAGGCTGAATTAAGAACACAAGACATTTCATTTAAGTTGCACTGCCAAGGTTCTGCCATAGGTGGCAGCAGAGTCCTTGCTTTCTTATTAAATCAGCAGGTACTATAGTCCTCCACTTCAGATTGATCATTTTACAATGATTCACAGATATGACAGCCTTAGAAAAACTGACTTACGACCAGTACTTGAAGTCACAACTATCAGGCAACCCCCGTGGTTACATGATTGCAATTCATGCAACCAGCAACCAGCTCGCATTTACTATTGCAGTCCCTTGCATTTAAGCAATTTAGATCTGGTAAACAGTCGATTGGGAAAGCTGGATTTGCTTAACAACCGTGTGATTCACTTAAAGACTGTGCTGATTTGCTTAATGACCATGGTAAAAAAAGCTGTCAGGGTTCCAAATAGTATCCAAAAGTAAATCAAAGTTCAAGGCAAAGTATTGCTCAATGTTCCAATTTATTAAGAGAGCCATGCTAGCACATCTGGGAAACCCTGAATCTGAAACCCTGAATCTGAAAGCGGTTTTCCCCACCTAGTTGAAAGTTCAAGATCTTGCCCCCACACCGACAAGTCCATCACATGGTCCAATCTCCCACTGCCATGCTGGCTGTTCCACCCATCCAGTTCTGATCAGGTGCAGAGGTGCAGAGATAAAGGATGACCTTGGCTTTCTAGAAGGAATTTGGTTTTGGCTACATAGCATCTAACTCTGTACAATCCCCCCTCCCATTTTCCCACAATAGAAAAGGCATAGTAGAATAATAGAAAGTGTGGCAGGCCAAAGATCCAACAGGAATATGGCTACAGGCCTGACAAAAGAATTATACAATTCCAACTAAATTAAAAAAAAAATCTTTCAACTGTTGAATATTATAAAAGACAATGTAGAAAACATTACCCTCCATTTAAAAAAAATATTTAAAAATACATTTTAAAGTTGTGTGAAGAATATCAACACAGCCAGTTACAGTTGCACTCACTCACACACATCACAGAGATGCTTTACAGCAGCTGGAAGAGAACCATCACCTGAGTGTGAATTTCCTCATTAATGGACCTCTTGGTCTCCTGCTTTTTTTTCACCGCCAGAAGATCCACCAGAGGGCGGATGGTCATGCCCTGCAGATAGACAAGCCAGGTTAAATTCCACCAGCCATACCCAAGGTCGGTTCATTTTTCATTTTCCTTCAAAAATGCTCTTCCCAAACACTTTGCTAGCCCCACCTCTCTAGCAGTGGCCAAGCTTTAACAGGTTAACAGAGTTGGAAGGGACCTTATAGGTAATCTAGTCTAACCCCGCTCAAGCAGGAGACCCTACACCATTTCTGTGATCTCAAAATCATCAAAGGTAAATTCATTTCCTGGTCATTTCTGACCTTTCATATATTTAATCCCTATTGCATTTTATGAGTACCTCTAAAGAACTATACAAATAAATATACAAAGCATGAATGCTGTAATTAATACAGTAAATCCCAGGAACATTCTTTATCAGGGGCACAGCTAGGTGACTCTACCCAGCTCACATTAGCTGATTTTGGATGAGACCCGCCTAGTACTTGGAAAGGAACCCATCAGGAAATCCCAGGCCCATGGACTAGACTCAAAAGTTGAAGCAATATCCCAGAAGAGGGCAGTGGCAAGCCAATGCTGTACTATTGCTAGGAAAGTCACACAAGCATGTTCTTGGGAGTTTCGGGAGTCAAGCGGAACTCAAAGGAATGTTGACTCCATATATTTATGCCACTGTAGGTCAGTGTTGGGAAACCTTTTCAGCAATGAGTGCCAAAAAGGCTGTATGGAAATGTCACACGCGCATGCGCTCATCAGGGCCACGCTCTGGAAAAGCCAAACTCCCAGGTCCTAGCACACATGCACACCCGATGATCAGCTGGCAGGCGTGCATGCAAAGGCCAGTTTTCAGCACTGCCACACGAGCGAAGAGATCGCGCTCTGGAAAAGCCGAACTTCCGAGTTCTGGCACGCATGCACGCACAACGATCAGGTGGCTGGTGTGCATGCAAAGGCCAGTTTTCAGCACTGCCACACGAGCGAAGAGATCGCGCTCTGGAAAAGCCGAACTTCCGAGTTCTGGCACGCATGCACGCACAACGATCAGGTGGCTGGTGTGCATGCAAAGGCCAGTTTTCTGCACTGCTGGGCACACAAAAGGATCACACTCCAGAAAAGCTGAACTTTGGGGTTCTGGTGCACATGCACACCCAATAATCAGCTGGCCGGCATGCATGTGCTCACTAGTTTTTGGCACTTCCATGCGCACGAGGGACAGCTGATCATCGTGTACGCATATGTATGCCAGGAACCCAGAAGACAAACAGGGAAGGCTGCGCTTGCTGGGTGACATGGCTTTGTGTGCCACTTTGGGCACATGTGCCATAGGTTTGCCATCACGGCTGTGTTTGTCTTTAGTAGCCCCAAATTCAAAGGACCCCAGTGGTACATTTTCAAACCTGCACAAAGACTGTGAAGAAGATGACTGTGATGATCGCTGTGAGGAACATATTCCGCATGGGGAAATGCTCATGATCCAGCAGGTAGCCGAGAGAGAAGGCGATGGCCCCTCGCAGGCCACCGTAGGCAATGATGAACTGATCCTTCGGGCTCAACTTCACGATGCGAAATTTGTTGATGAACCACGTCAACACCAGCACACCTGAACAAAGATCGAAAAAGACAGAGAGGCACAGATGAGCTAATGGCACGGTTGACCCACACAGAGCTCTTGGTTTTCCTTTTTTCAGGGTTGCAAATCACACGGTTCACACAGTGCATTTACACCGATCGGGTAGAAGGTTAGTGCCCCCACACACATGCACACACATTGCATGCAAAACCTAACATTGGTTTGTTTATTAAATTTATTTGCCATCTATTTTGCCATACTCTAATAGCAATAGCACTTAGACCCATGATGGTGAACCATTGGCATGCATACCCAAAGTGGCACGCGGAGCCATGTCGTGTGGCACACATGGCATTCTCCAGTCCTCTTCTGGGTTTCTGGCATGCACACACACATGAAGTTAGCTGGCCTTCATGTGTGCAGCAGTGCTGGAAACGGGAAGAGCTGGTCTTCCATTTTCCAGGGTCAGCATGTCTGCCAGCCAGCTGATTTCTCACATGTGCATGTGCACTAGTAACTGGAAGACTAGCTGGCCGGTGCGCATGCGCATGGAGGAAACTGGAAGTTCATGTTCCAGTGCGTGCATGCCCCCTGGGCAGCTCCTCTTCTGGATTGCGTCCCAGACAATCGGCACGCACGCTCCCTTTTTGGCACTCGGGGCAGAAAAGGTTCACTGATTTAGACTTAAATACCGCTTCACAGTGCTTTGTAGCTCCCTCTAAGCGGTTTACGGAGTCAGCCTCTTGCCCCCACCAACCTGGATCCTCATTTCACCCACCTCGGAAAGCTGGAAGGCTGAGTCAACCTTGAGCCTGGTGAGATTTGAACTGCCAAACTGCAGGCAGCCGGCAGGCAGCAGAAGTAGCCTGCAGTACTGCACTCTCACCATTGCGCCACCACAGCTCATATAACATCATAGTATGTTATACAAACCCAGCCAGTTTCCTAAGCATCTCTCTGGAGCACAGGAACATCCCTGCTGCACACAGTGGCCCCCTACATCCTAACAGGAGCAATGGCCCAGAAATTTAGGTGATACCAACATGTTCTCGCTCTGTCGATTTGATGCCTAGAGACTTCCTGTAAAAGTTGGTAGGGGAGTTTGCCAGTGGCACTTATTTATTTCTTTAATGTATTATGTGACTCAATGCACACAGTGACTAACAACATCAAAATGTCACAGTGTAAAAACCCAGCAACCTCCATCCATCCCAGCAGCGATGATCACACACTCATGCCAGCCACCCAATGGGCTCTGTATCAACCTGGGGATCTTTTGTCAGAGGTTTTGTCGACCATGGACTAAAACCACATCTTCCAGAAAAGTAACAAGGGGGGGGACTTATCTTTGAGGCAATGATATTCCCCAGGGAGGGGGCCACCATGGAGAAAGCCCTTTACCTTGGATCCCACAAGGTGTGCCGTCCTAATGGATAGCAAAGGTAAAGGTTCCCCTCGCACAAATGTGCTAATGGGGGCGGTTTCTCATCTCTGTTTCAAAGCCAAAGAGCCAGCGCTGTCCGAAGACGTCTCCATGGTCATGTGGCCGGCATGACTAAATGCCGAGGGCACATGGAACGCTGTTACCTTCCCACCTTCATACTTTTCTACTTGCATTTTCTACATGCTTTCGAACTGCTAGGTTGGCAGAAGCTGGGACAAGTAACAGGAGCTCACTCTGTTATGCTAGGGATTCGACCCGCCAAACTGTCTACCTTTCTGATCGACAACTCAGAGTCTTAGCCACTGAGACACCCTGTCCCTCCTGTCCTAATATCTACAATAGACCTCGTCTTCACACTCTAGTAGGTGGGGTAGATGCTTAACGCAGGAGAGGTGGGTCTTCAAACAGCCTGGACCCCAAGCCATGTAGGGCTTTAAAGGAGATAACCAGTAACTTTCATTCATCACCCCTGCCCTGTTTCCCACTTGAGCAACATGTCCAGACCTAAAACCCTGGCAATCAAGCAGAAAATCAGGGTGCAAATGATGAAGGCCCAGTTCCACTGGTGCTGCCCGGCCACGGTGGAGACACCAAGAAAGATGAAGATAAGGGTCTCGCTGACGCTGCTCCACATCTTCAGGAAATATTTGATGGTTGTATGGGACTTGTGGGAGATATTGGCCTCCACATAAGGGCGCATCACCACCCCTGCGGCAATCAGCCTGCAAGAAAGAGAGAAATGGGTCTGTGGGAAGAGCAAAGAGACCACCAACCTCCCTCATCTTGCTGAGAAGGTATTCCATTCCATCGGATGATCACGCTCGGAAGGAAAAGATGGAGAGAGGAATGCTTGTAGGAGCTATCTAAGGTAAAGGTAAAGGTTCCTCTCACACATATGTGCCAGTCATTCCTGACTCTAGGGGGCGGTGCTCATCTCCATTTCAAAGCCAAAGAGCCAGAGGTGTCCGAAGACGTCTCTGTGGTCATGTGGCCGGCATGACTAAACACTAAAGTCACACAGAACGCTGTTACTTCCCACCAAAGTGGTCCCTATTTTTCTACTTGCATTTTTACATGCTTTCAAACTGCTACATTGACAGAAGCTGGGACAAGTAGCGGGAGCTCACTCCGTTACTCGGCGCTAGGGATTCGAACCACCAAACTGCCAACCTTTCTGATTGACAAGCTCAGTGTCTTAGCCACTGAGCCCTTATTTACATCACTCAAAAATGAGCCTTAATATAAAATCTTCTGTTAAGCGTTCGTTTGGTTGTCCCTGGCAATCGGAAACTGCCTATGTATGAGTAAGTGGGAGACATCTTTCCGCTTTAACCCCTACGCAAGACTAAAATATGCTGTTAGAGGAAGTGGCTTTCCCATGGCTTCACACCCAGCCGAGGCTCCCATATGTTCTTTTAGCTTAGAGCTTAAACAGTGACTTTTAATCTTTTCAAACAATTTAACGTATTTTTCACTTGTTCCCTACCTACGGATATACTCTTTCCGGGCCATGTTTAAATTGTGTGTTTATTCATTTTGTATTGTAGTCCTTTGTCTTTTTGCTCATTATCTTTTCTTTCAAATAGCTTATAACAAAAATACAATAACAGAGAGGGAGGGAGGG